GCGCACCACTCACGAGCCCCAATAGGGCGAAGCGGCCGTCTGGTGCTTTGCCGGATAGGTAGTTCACTTATCTGATTTGTCGGCTGATTGCACCGAACAAAAATACTCACCAATTTCCTTCTATTCATAATTAATACAAACTCGCTCTTACGGATTCCATAAAATGCTATGTCGATTCATGGCTGCCGCAAACGGGAAGTACTGACGCCGGAACGCCAACTGCTGTCAGCTGCTTGGCAGTGGAGGATGGTTCGGGCTATATCGCAGTTAGCTAACAATTCGTGATGGTCGGCTACCGTCCTCCTTGGCGCCGTTGCATAACCTGCGGGCTAGTTGGCACAAGCCACTAGCAGTCACGGGTTCGATCCTGCATCGAGGACCGTGGGATGCGCACAACTACAAATCCTAATAGGGCGAAACGGCCGTTTGGTGCATTTCCGGATAGGTGCTTAACTTATCTGAATTTTCGACTAATTGCGATGAACAAAAATTATATGTCCCTTTAAATTTTAATGTATATTCACCAACGTCCTGCTGAAGCAGAATATTGATTCGTTTGTGAATTAGTTTAATAACGGTGTTACTTCTTTGCAAATTTGAATGAAATGAACAGAACGTTTCTCCTATTTTGCGTGGAGAATTATGCGCTTCATTTCTGTAAAACATTTCACCTCTCACTCGATGTTATAGCGACGGGTAGTTCACTTGAAGTTTTACTTTCTCTTTTCCTCGTGCCGCTGAAGGAAAGCAACATTACCATAAAAATTAATTAGAGTACCCTACTACAAACGTTACGTGAATGCTGTGTTGTTTTATTTATATTTGCAGCCGCTGGTACTGTTGGTAATGCATAGGTTAACTTTTGAGACATCAGCGAAGCAGAAAGAAGGGTGTACCTATAATACCGAATACCCTCATTAGTCGCATAGTGGGTTGAAGTATTATTGCGTTCGTTCACCAAAAAGCAGCTTGGTTTAGTCAGTATCTGCTCTACCAGTTTAGTCTGAAATCTAAGAATGCAAATCAGTCGATATCGGTGTTTGCGGTGACCTCATAATGGTTTACCAGATTACGAAGAACTCAAATCATGTTTTCCGTCCGCTGCTTAAATTGAACCACAAGAGTAATCTAAGTGCTCGTCCCCTGAAACTGGCAATACAGTATAGCTGGCTAGAATGCCGCAGAAATTTCTTTTGCCTCTTTTGGAACGCTCACTCTAATTATGCTGTCGGCCCCCAATCTGACGATATTTAAAAAACGAGTTGACGATGCATTGTTTTAGTTGCTTTTCATTTTATAACTTGTTAGCCAGGGGCAACAAAATGTCATCAAACTGTATGTTTCCAAACTCCCAAACAATGGACTTATGGATTGATACTTTGATTACGCAAACATCGACTTTCTATATAAGCCTATGGTGAGTCCACCAAAACGCTTTTCACTTTATTATGCAATTGTGTTTTCGTAATAATTTCCATCCCATGTGATTCGTTAGGCATTGCTATTTTACCAGTAATACACCATTACTTCAGTCTTCCATTGTTCATTTAGTAAACACTTGTGAGATACAAGCGAAATACTTTAAACAGCTTATAAAATTTTTCTAGACGAATTTGTTCGGTCGAATGTCCGACTGATGAGTTCACATTAATTACAGTGACCTTCATGGTGAACGGTAATCCTCGATTTTTCGGGAAACACAGCCAACTGCAAGTGCCAAGAAACTTGCTGTGCACGATAGGACAGAATGTGGTTCATCTTGAGTAACCTTTTCAAAAAGACTTCACCGCACTGAAGACAAGTAAATGCATTATCTTGGCTACACAAGGAAGTTGCTATGCTGCAAAATTTGCCGGTACCTCCAAAGAAGGAACCTCAGCCTATCCGCGCTTAGCTCGCATTGTGTATACTAAACTGTGTGTGACTGCGGAGTCAGTAACATAGGCAGCATTGATTGGATTCTGACTTTCGCAGTTAAGCCTCATGTGCTGAAGTGGGTTCAGCCTAAAATCATCAGAGCCACTACATCCTGAACTTCCGCGCTCGTACAAGTTAATGGCGTCCTAGATCTGCTGGTTACAAATCACCGGATAGAACTCGGCTCAGCGCTGAACTTTGTGTTGTGTCAAGCTACTCTTTAGCCACCTTCTATTTTCCGTCGTTATGACAATACGCTTGATGAAACTATTCTTGCGCGGTCAAAATAATTATTTGTCAGGCTTCGACTGTTCCGCAAAAAGTAGTGATATTCCATTACTTAATTTGCATCTCAAGCTTGTCTGCTCGCATCAAAATGTAGTCATAGATATGCTTATGGTTTTGTTCACGATACTGAGGAGACAATACAAAATGCATGCACTTACTAGCTTTCATCTTCTTTTGTGCTTTCCAAACTGCTAAACCGAACTAAGGGTTTTAAATATAGTATTTTAACAACACACGTGAAATTACTTATCATTCCTGACAGTACGTGTTAAACTCTTGTTGGTTGCTTAGTCTTTCTTTAGAGCTTAAAGGCTACATATATTGGATACACGTGAACATTTTCGTATGACTTGATGAACACATGTGTATATGTGAAGAAGATGTGAAGCTAGCATCGTGAATGGAATGGGAAAGTTCTCCGTGCCTAGTTATTTTGGTGCAGGATGAAGAAGCAGGAATGTGAAATTGCAACTTCAGTGAACCCGGAAGCTTCCCTCTCTTAGTAATCTAGTTACAAACATACATAAATAAATAAACGAATAACTTGTAGGTTCCTCGGCGATTCGAGGCGAAGTCCAACTTTGTGGTCTGATCAATGAGTACAGCAGGAACGCACAAAACAAGTATTTGTTCACGCCTTATACAATTGATCCAAAACGAATTTTGAATTGGTAGGTTGCAGGAATTAAATAAATTGAAAATCCAGGAACAACAACAAATGCAGATTTAAACAAAGGTTCAGGTAACGAAATACGGCCATCCGTGGAACCGTCCCCAGGGGACCAGTTTCCATGCAGGATATTTCCTCGAAAGGTTTCGCCTGCACATCCATGCTGTCCCTGGCCGCATACCAGTGTGGCAAAGTACCAAATAAGCCATCACCAGTTTAATAAATGCTGTGTTCTTTTTTGCATACACGCATGTACTATTGGCGATGAAGCCTCAGCCCGGTCCGTCATGCGGATCATTCAATTATGGTATTTTTATACGCCAGACAGTTGGTGTTAATGTGCCTTGCATGGGTATAGCCTCTTATAATCTGGAAGGTTTAATCCATCACCTCAGGAGACCAGTCATGTCGTGACCAAACATGAAATAAGGAAGCATGTGGAATAAGAAAAACTGAATGCATTGAATTGAATGTAGCTTCCCTGTCCTGGTGAATGCAAGTAATGCTTATTACAACTAACAGATTCTCTCAACGGTTAATGAAGTAATTTTCGCAGTTTTCAGTGTAGCTAACCAAAGTGACTCTCCACTGGCTTTTTTGGCCCATACGGTAAACATCAAAGTCATAAAAAATGCGCAGTTAGGAAGGCGTGTGTCAATATCCAGACAATGCTGTATGTTCTCTACTACCCTAATGTACGCTCTACTTGGCGCCTTTAACTCAGACTTTGTATGTAGTTTGCGATTGAATACGCCGCATTACCTAAATGGAAACTCAAGTTATCAATATGTATATTATCACAAGAAATACTGCGCCAATTTGTTAGCAATTAGCTGGCATTTCTTTTCCTTCGATAAATTCAGTTTATCATGAAATATATACCGCAGATGCCGGAATCTAGTGTGGCAGCTCAAGCGGCTCGTCTGCAGCCAACTGTGCCCAGGGTGCGAAGCCCTGTTTTAGCCTAGGTTAGGCTACCCAGTGTTATCCCGACTCGTGCGCCACCATCCATTCCTTCATGATACACGTTATCTAAAATTGAAACACCTCAGCTATTGCGCCGCAATGCATAAGAAATGAATGAGAAATACATGTATCAGATGCATGCCAGCTAACCACCAGTAACCAGTGGGCACCGTTCCGGAGAGCTAATAGCTGGCTACTGTGCCGCGAAGAAAGTTCTAGTATATATATATATATATATATATATATATATATATATATATATATATATATATATATATATATATATATATATATATATATATAGGGGCTAAGCAGGAGGAGGGGGACAAAGGAAATCACAATACGAACGCAACTGAGGTTGTTTCCTAACCAGGTCAACAACTGTATCTCGTGCGCCTCCGTTTGCCTTGGATGGCAGCGAAGGGTTAATATAGGGTGCAGATAAACCTGGGGGTATGAGCAAGAAAGCTACTTAAATTGGCTGCATCTCACAAAGTGACCATAAACCCCGTTAAAGTGATGGCAGATGTAACCATGTGGTGTCCCAAAAGCGTGTAATAATACTTGCCTTTTATTCTCGCAAGGCCCCTAACTACAGAATTGTCGAAGATATTATAACATAAGGTATCTCCTTGACGGTTCTCATTGGTATACAACGCGTGCACGAACTAGTTAACGACTTATTTTAGAATGCAACACCTCGATGACGCTGCTGTTAAACGTGCACATTTGTGGATTGAGTATACTAACACGCTTTCGAAATACGATAAATTATTTCTAGGCGAATGGATGCAGACACTCCATAGCCTAGAAAATCGACTGTTATTATGTGGATTTTTCCAGCAACACGTCTAGTTTGGTATGGTCAATCAACCTTTTGTTGTGTAGAAGCCGGTTTACAACTTGTACTTGCTCAAAGGTACAATAAGAGGAAAGAGTTTAAAACGCTTTATATTATGAAAAAGTGTACCTTCCGATGGAGCGATTGTAAAGCATTAGCTGCGATACTAAGGTTGCAAATCTGTCGTCCTAAGAACTCTACCAACGGATAGGCGTGAATAAACTTGTTACGTTAAGTTGGAACAGGATATGAATGTTTAGAGGTGATATTCGAAGAAAAGTCCCCTAAAAGAAATAGTAGAAATACAAAGTTAGATACCTCCCGATTTCGGTCTTGCACGCAACTTGAAAACAGTAATCTTTGGGTTCCGTTGGTGAGAAAAGAAACTCCAGCTGAACAGCGCCATTAGGTGGAAGTATGCCAAATCCATTGTTCGGTTGGACTTCGATACACTAAAAAAGAACTCATGTTGATAGTGAGATGTAAATACATTACTTTAAAGCATGTTAGCACTTGACGGATCTATGCAACTATATAACCTGGGGAGGATCCTATTCATGTTTAAAAGGTTATACTGATCTGGCAAAGTTAGCGTCTAACAGATAAAGCCAGTAGGTGCATGGTGCTTTCATTTACAGTCAGTAAGGTGATAACACCAAACGAAACGTGAAGACTTGCATAGAGACATCGCCTTTCACAGTGTATGCACGCATTTGTTGGTGAAGATACCTCGAACGGATAATGGAAGGAATCGAGGTTTGGATAAGTAGTCGTACTCCTTATCCACAACGATTTACTTTGTTTGCCCCACCACTTAATAAGCTTAAATTTCCTTTTATACGCCCAGCTCAAGGAGAAGATAAAATTGCCTTTCCACTCGAACATCCTCATAACCGGAAACAACTCATGTATGAAACCAGTCACACCAAGTCGTGGTATCTACAATTCCCATGTAATGTTCAATCCGCATGTATAAGTAGTGAGAAGAAACAAGTTGTGGGCCTCAATGGAAATTAATTACACGGTTCTGGCAGTAAGGGTATAAATATAATAGGCAATTAACCGCAACATCAAACAAACACACATGTGAAGTACGCTATCCAGGCCTAGCAGCCGTAGCACAAGCAAGATCTCGCAGCGCTCGAGACTCCACAGCAAAGAGCCACCAAGTATGTCATACGATTGTTCCACCTTCCATATCAATTTAGACTGAGAGGCCTGTGGGACGACCAAATAATGACCTACAAGATTCTGAGGAACTTCAAGCACGAGTACCACCACCCACCGTAAATTTGCAAAAACACGAACATGAGGGGTCATCAGTTTAAGTTGGCCACGCTGTGCATCCAGTTAGAATGTAGACGGAACTTGCCGTCTCTTCGTATGTGTTAGCCATGAAACGCCCTCCCTAATTAGATCAAATACGCACCCACGTTGTCTTTGTTTAGAGTCGCCTTGACATTGCGCTAACTGAACTGCACATCGAGAAACGAGATGAGGTGGCGAACAGTGAACCGCTCAGCATTTCCACACATAAATGAGGTAACTTCTTCTAAGTGTGCCTCAATGTAGACACTATGGGGAATCTGTAGCGGTTGGAAATAAACCCCATTGTATCCGTCCCTTATCCACATAGCGGAGCTGCACGCTATTGGGCGCGTCCCCAGGTTTCATACTGAGGAATGCCTTCCTCGTAGAGGTAACTACCAATAGGTCGTTTGCTCTCTTGCCGAGATGAATAAGCAGTCGCGAATAATCAGTGGCAGCGTCGCAGAGCGTGGGGAGTTCTGCGCTGGACAAATTGTTCACAATGCGATACCTCAAGAGTCCGTACGGCGCTGTGTCAAAGCCAATGAAGTCATTGACCACTCACTTCTTTAACCGGATGTGAGTACCTAACGGAGAGTGGATGAACAATCTTACTAGCCACCTGATTCCGAGCGAACTGCCACCGAACACAAAGGTGAATGGGCCACAAGGGCTGTCCAGGCCTTAGTATACACAGCTGGTTGGATGTTTCAGCGACACGCGTCAATCACTCCACTGCCTGTGGGTCAGGTCATTAAGACCAAAGGTTCCCGGTGCGATCCCTTAAGACAACCCTCTCACTCGGCTTGGACAGCCGGGAAGATTTCTGCTCACGCAACACAAACTTGTGTATCACCTCCAAGTAGTATCTTTCCTTCCCTGTGTTTTGTTGTTATCCATGTATTGTGGCATTTTGCTGTTTGTTTATTGGTAAAGTGTTGAATATGAGCAATATATACCCCTCTTTTATCACTTTTGTTATCAATAATTGTTGTGTCGCTGGTTTAAATTAACGAATTTAGGATAAACACGTTCGAATGCGTTCGTGTAGTAATTGCTTCGTTTGGTGATACCTGTGTGTGCGCATGCATATGCTTGAATCCATATTCTAAGCGATGGAAATCCATGCCAAACAGGCTAGTTCGGTTTGCATCGTCCGACACCCGAATTCAGTCTACTATGGGGAACCGAGACTACTATAGGTGACAATTCAAACAAGTAACAAGGCGAAGACCGCCCTTTTGTTAGCTCCCCGAGTTTGTGATTCGTTATGCGGTGTCCGCATATTTTCTGACATCCCTTGGAGTGAATGTTGGCAAAGGAAGCGAAACCTAGAAGAATACTGCAAGCAAACCGACAAAGGATCAACCATTGTCCATGGTGTTCCCGAGATGCACTATTTCGACAAGTCTCAAGCCCAGCCTCACGACTTGGGAGAGTAGCGCTACATCCGCGAAGCCCTCTCTCTCCATGACGTGATGGCCAACTCAGCGTCAACTTAACCTATTTCTCCTAATTTTGTTGGGGTGGTCCAAGGGTGCTGTAAGTCCTGTTCCAATCCAAAGTATAGCTTGATTGATGTCACCAGTTACGCACAAAACTACCATCAGGTAAAGTCTGCAGGCGGTCGCTTCCATGCCACTATTGGCTAAGCACACACGAAACTTGCAAGATTTTGTCGCGAACCCCCTATCTGTACTTCTGAGTCGGAGCGAGTTCATCTGTCCGGCCGCTCTAAGAGGGAACAGGCAATCCGTCAATCCGATTGGGTAGTGGGTGCTGTGTGCAATGGACTGAAACGGCCCCGGGGCAGTAGGCCAGAAATAGGTTAAAAAAGTCGGTTGCCAGTCGACCCCACATGGGTCGGCGTAAATGTTCAGGGAACGGTTGTGTGTTCAGATACGTTTTGGGAGTCCGTAGCTCGCAAAATCTTTGTATACAAACGCACGGAGCCACCACAGTAAATTAGCCAAGTTTCATTCTCTTCAAGCTTCAACCTCTTAGGGTCTCACCGTAGCAAGCGAGACATGGTTGCACGACATGATTACCAACGCTAAAATCTCACTAATTGCCATGCCACTCTTGCGCAACGACCGGCCGACTAATAGAGGCGGTGTAATATTTTACTACTGTTTCGATCTACACTTCGGCCGCACTAACGACCCAAGAGTAAAAACCGTAGACTCGTTATGCAGCTGCCTACACCTAAGTCCAGACAATATATGTTTCGTGATCCCTGTATACCTCCCAGCAATGTCCACATTAGACATGGAAAACGTTTTAGACTCCACTATAAGGCATTAGGTGGCACAATCTTACAGCTACATTTTTCTTATAGGGATGTCAGGCTGCATGCGCTTTGGCCAATCTGGCGTGGAATTTGAGGCGGAACTGTGAGTGCTAATCGCTGGTTCACCATCGTACTACGATGTCACTTCTCCAGAGCGTTTCAGGACAAGTTACAAACCGGCCATCTTGAGCCTCATCTTTACTAACGAGGAAGTCGTGATAGGGGTAATAAGAACGGGCACTCCATTGCATCGCAGCGACCCTGCGACATCCTTGTTCCACTGCACGTGCTACGCGGAATACCTTAAAGAAAGTGCTGGGGAATCTCAAGTCGTAACCAAGTATGTTAAGAAGTCTGGTCACACTGGTCTTAGCTGACTAGCCCCTCTATATGACCTGATGAGAATTTGTAAACAGATTCAACAGGCTAGTGGTAAGCACATCAGGAACGGGAATCCAGCACTCGGAAAAGATGAAGTCGTTCCTAAGGAGCAGGACTCGTAAATGAAGGGCACGGAGTGACTCGGCTTGGCTAGCCTGCACAGCCTTTCGGAGCTAGAACACCTAGGATGTCTGTACAACAAAACGGAACCACTGCGTTAAATTCGTCAGGGAGTATAGATCAAAGTACCACCAAGATCTTTCGATAGGATTTTACTCTAATGCCCGTTTGCTATACAGACAAATAAACAAAATTCCAAGGGCTGAGCGCGGATTTCAAGTACTGCACAAGGCATGTGGGTTAGCGCAAGCTGCACAAGAAACGATCAACTTTCTTGGACAACAAGTGCACATCCTGCCTACGCAGATCATGCCGACATCAGGCGTTAATCACATACCTATTACAACTACAGCTGTAAGGAAACGGTTTATGTACTTGCGCGATTACAGCTCCCCTGGTATAGACTGCGTTCACACAAAGGCGTTGAAAGTGACAAACATGAGCTAAGCCCAAGTGTGAGCAATACTCTTTCATCGATATCTTAATGAAATGCAGTTTTCCACGATGTTGACGCACAGAATCATCAATCCAATAGACAAAAGTGACAGCCTTGTAGAACCACCGAATCATCACCTGACATCACCGTTACCGGTGAGCTAGGCGATAATGTAGTCTTATAGCTGAGCGACTCATGTGGTATCTGGAAGGTAACAAAATACTCCTTCAGGACCAACATGGATTTCGCAAAAATCGGTCTTGTACTACTAACTTGTTGATAGCTCTTGCGTGCTGGATGGAAACTGTAGATGTTGGAGTAAAAGTAGCTATCACCTACCTAGATTCCCCAAAGGCATTCCACCGTCTGGAGCATTGCATTCTACTGCACAAGCTTTAGAGTTATAGAATCGGCGATCCTATTCTGGGATGGATATATAACTCTCTTTTTCAATGTCACCAGAATGTGAGAGTTCACAGAAACCCTGCCGGAACCAATCGAAGTTCAGTGCGTCGTAAGTCAGGGCTGGGTACTTGCTCCCAACCTGTCCTTGATCTCGACAGCGCACTATTTTAAACTTTCCTACTATTCACATATGATATAAACACATGGGGTTCTATCACCAAAGTGACGGATCACACAGCCCTACAAGATGGCCTGCATAAAGCGTACACATGGTCCACTGAGAAAATGCTTCAGTTCAACACCGTCAAGTGTATAATAATGGGCATACGCAAGCAGCGTACTCACAACTACTGGTTAAGGACAAATTCTACAGCGGGCTTTTCATGGGTGCGATATCGGCGTGCGCATGCAAGATTACTTTAGTTGTTAGAGGCGGACGGAAAAGGCGTCAACGAAAGTAAAGCAGCATTTTGGTCTCCTTCGTAGAGCACTTCGACGCCCCAGCCTTTCCAAAAATGCTTTGCGCGTACGTGAAGATGCACGCTGAACTCTATATCCAACTGTAGAAACCTCGTCAGAAGCACCATCTCACCGCCCTCGATACTGCACAATGCATGGTAACCAAGAACGTAGAAGTTTTGTCCTGTCTAATCTACCCACTCAAGCTGAAAACACTAAAAGTGTACAGCGGACTTTATAGGAGTCTGCTAGCCTATCTCATTAGCTTGTATCAAATCCAAGAAACCATAGTCCATTTGCGTCAACTACGGTCCTCGTGCTCAAAAGACAAAGGTTCACTCCAATGGGAATCGTGTTCAACATTGCGATTGCGAATCGCAATTCATTCACACAACATGTACTTCAAAAGGACCTTCAACATCGTTCATTGAACCGTAGTGCCAAGAGTTGCCCGTCGTGACCCGGTGGCTTAGGGGTAGCGGTCACCATTAACATCCCAATGGCCCCGGGTTCGATGCCTGCTAACTATCTGATGAGATGTAATAACATCGAAAGGTGTCATAGTGGTGCAGTGTTTTCGGGCGAGCAACACCCAAGTTCTAGTTGAACCGCAATCGGCTTTACGACCATCCTTTGAAACCTGGCCAAAAAAACTTCTAAAATGCCATAAGTTTAATTTAGCTATGCAGTACAGCCGACTAGAATACCGAAGGAAGCTTTTTCACCCATAGTGTAACAGCCATTGAACTCCCTTGTCACTATTCAAAAGATGCTTCAGAAGGCTGTGACGCATTTACGCTACGTGATATATCCCATGACCATCGAATGATGGCATTAGGTCATAACCAATAGTGAAAGGATGTCATAATCCACTTAAACTGAATGCAGGAATACGCACACATCTGCTACATCAAGCCTCCATGAGTTATGTATCTAGCGCATTTTTGACGACAATGTTAATATTTTGTAATTTTCGCACTAACCATTCTGCGGGACTCGTCAAGCATTTGATTTGACGACCACTGTTTTATTGATCGCCTTTCCCAACGGTCGGATGTTTAGGCTCCAGTAATCACTTATTTGCTGATAGACGGTAATGAGGGAGGGCATAACTATTTTTCAACTGAGTTGTGGCCAATGCTTGTATTTTGCCTTCTATCGGTCCACTACAAAACTACAAAAAGCTTTTCATGTTAACACCATGCCTTTTTCATTATTTTCTCATTCTGGCATTCCCACGGGATTTACTGAACACCAGCTTTTCCACCTGGTACACACCATTGTCCTCTGCGTTAACGGTTGTCTTGACAAATTTGCTTTTGGAAAGAAACTAGGCCTTAGACCCAAGGTAGTATGTAAGTAGGAAATTTGCGTATATTACAGCGTCTGAAACTATGGTTTCCTACATAAGGTGGATGCACGCGCAAGGTTGAAATGCATACGCAGTGCAAAAGTTACTTCCGTGCAACTAATATAACGGAAAGCAAAGAGGTATTACTTGCGGCAAGTCCACGATTCCGAATTTTTGAGGCAACATGCAGTTGTTTACGATCCTCAGTTCCTTCGAAACGGTTTCATTAACCTCTGCCGCGCCAAAGTCTAGCGATTCTGGTATAAATATCAAGTCAGTTTTGGTGACGACTGCGGCGACCACCAGCTTTAGTATGTTGGCCTGCCCAGACACGTATACAGCTACTGGGACTTCAAGCACCCCAGAAGCCGGTTCAAACGATGGCAACAAGTCGGACTGAGTCCTTTCATCGCTATCTTTCGATTGATAGTTCTTGTGGATTGAGCAGAGGTCAGAATGAATGGTTGACTTCGGACAGAATTTTACTTGAGCCAGAAGCCTTCCATGTGCCTTAATTGGGGAGAAAAATCAGCTATATTTGGCTAGCTAAAGTTACGGACAAGTAAAAAGCAAAATAAATTACAAGAAAAGAGGCATACGACAAGAAGCCAGCATAAAATAAACCCACATCTTCAGAATTAAATCACTTTCAGTAAATCTGTGAATGCATCATTAAATTCTATTGCCATTGTCATATTGCCTCGCTCAGTATCTACCAGTCCGTAAATGTAATCTACAAAATTGAAAGTTGTACAGTTGGTCTCGTAGAACAACCATTGCCGATCGCTCAAAAGCTATGTTTCATTCTCCCCTATTGGATGAACACGCTTTAATCACAGACAAAACAGTACTTCCGCGAAAGCTCAAACAATAAAAATTCGGTTTAAATCAAGATGTAATATCTTATCACAAGGCCAGAAGCCAAACAATAAGCTAAATGCGTTGTTTTTACAAACAGGACGGATTTGATCATGGATTAATTCCATCTCACACTATACTGGTGTAATACTGTTTTCAACATGCAGGACTGACTTTGGGTAGAGCGTTTTTGCAGTTGGCAGAGGTGCAACAACCGACAGCATTCATGTCCCATACAGCTGCTGGAAGCCGATTATCAAAACAGCGCGTGCTACGGAAACGTTACATCAGATAGCAATGGATGCGTTGGCGTGTGCTTCTAACATCAAAATAAACTCAAGCTCCATGTCGAGAGCTACGCACAACGTTCACATCCAATCTCGGTATGTCCACCGCACAGACAACAAAAGCTTCGTGCCTATTATTGCATTTGTTAGTAAATAAATTTGGACAGTATTTTGGAACAGAGAGATCAGTAAAATATAGTGTTGCTTGTCAAGAGGACCTGTTCGTAGGCCACAGAAAATGCATCCCGCATGAAGTTTTTACTACTATTGGGCACTTTAAATGGTAACAACTTATTTTATCAAACTACAGTGGATGTGCAAACGTAGTCACTATTTCCAGTTTGGTTTCACAACAAGCACCACAGTGGAAATGGCCATCGGCCCTCTGTAGTAGCTCGTATGGCATCATCACTACTAAAACGAAGGAATCACTTTTAGGATAGACCTTTGTTTGCAAGGTCATGGCTTGGCGGTATTTGTGGAGTATTTTGTGCATGTTTCTTTCGAATGAGCGAAGGGTGCGTCATACAAGTCGCTAACCTTAGTAGCCCCTATCAGCTTTCCGTGTTTTACGCTGATAAAACTTTCTTGCCATTCCGTGCCCACTAGACGCTGTTCAGTCTGCCATGTGCTCTTTAGTGATTCAACAGAATGATATTCATCAGCTGTAATAGACTGAAGTTAGGGTCCTTTCGGAGTGTTTTCAAAAGAAGCATCAACAAACACATTCGCGCAAGAACATTAGATCGTGTAGATATTTATTGCTTTTGCATATGCATGAGCAAGTTGATCAGGTACTGGTTGTTCAGTCCTTTAACGGACTTGGTTACTCGCGATTGCTATTTATTTATTTATAGGGTCAGGCTACTGAGCCAAAGTCTCCGGGAGCAGCACCTCAAGCAAACCTCCGAAGCACAATAATCACCACACGCGCGGTTGCCCGACAATGTAATCTTATGCCTGCGTGCTCAGCACCCAAGATCGGGTGCTGGAACGTGCGCACACTACTGGACTGGAATTCGAGTGAGCGTCCCGAGCGATACACTGTACTGGTCGCGATGGGACTGGTGCGTAACGACATTGTCATTGCAGCACTCAGCGAGACCTGGCACGCCGATCAAGGCAAGTTGCATGAAGCTGGCGCCGGCTACACGTTCTACTTTTGGAAACGCCACTTCAGCACCACGTGAACATGGAGTTGGAGATGCGCTACCCGATCGCCTAAATGGCCAGCTGGTAGATGAGTCAACTGGTATCAGCGCGCGGCTGATGAATGTTCGCCTACGGCTCGGAAGAGGTAAGTTTGCTAAATTTATAAGCACGCACGGTCCGACCATGTGTTATCCTGACGACACACATGATCAGTCCTACACTCAGTTATCCGGTGACTTGGGGAAGAAGAGAAAGTTTGGCAGAATTCGACCGCGAAGGACTGAAACGCTCCGTTGCATTAAAATGCATGGTGGACGGAGAAGGCGAAGCAGATGGAATAAATAATTAAAGAAATAAGCGTTTGATTCCTCAACAGTGCAAGGCACAGACCAATTGGGTGGTCTTATCGACATGTACAACGTGATCGTATAATATAGTTAAATTTACGTCTTTTGTTCAGTGGTTCCCATATGGATTTTGGAAGTGATTAGCAGTGAAAATAGTAGAGAGATAAAAAATTGAGAACAATTATACATGTAGATTTCGCGGAAAGTTCAAGTAAAGTAATATGGTCATTCATGGAACTGTCCCCAGGAAACTTGCTTCTATTAAGGGTGTTCCCATGATGGGTTTCACTCGCACTTCGTCGAACGCCGAACTTGGGAGTATGATGTTGACCGACCAGCAGCTACACAATGAGCTACATAGTCGCGTATCGGAATCAGCGGCGGCATTCGGGAAGTTAGAGTATCGAGCGTGGAGCATCCATCAGCTTACCGTTAGCACAAAGCTGATAGTGTACCAAGCCATGATGCTGTCCGCCCTTCTATACGGCAGCGAAACGTGGACGATGTACCGTTGAGAATTGCGATGTCTCGAGTGATTTCATGAACAGTGTCTGCGACGGATTCTGTGCATTGGTTGATGCGACAGAGTTGTAGAAAAGGAAGTGTTGCGCAGTGGACTGCATACCTTTGCTGGAAAACCTGAGGTGGTTCGGTTTTGTCTGCTGTATGGATTAGACGCCGGTACCGAAGTAGCTGTTACATGGTCAGCTGGGTGTGGGAAGCGTCATGTGGGGAAACTGAAGCCTCGGTAGCAGGACTTGATCATGGTGAACCTATGATGTTGTACTATAGCTTTATGGTATTGGAAATCGTGGGCGGTTGACCGGCGTGCACGGGGTGATCTTGTCACGAAGGTAGTTGCTGAGTTGCAGAAATCTCGTGTGTATACGGAGAAAAAGCGGCAGGCACGGAAACGACAGGCGCCGATGGCGTGTAAACCATCGTCGTCCAGCGCATGGTGCTGTAGCATATGCGGTCGCGAGTTTCTGTGTCAGGCAGGTGTAGTGAGCCACGACCGAGGCCACTCGGCACCAGTATCGAAACCTCGACGGGGTGCTGTTGCAAAACTAAGCAGAGCCGGCACATCATTGGTAAGTATACTGCATGCGCCTCCACTCGAGTTACAAACCGCGTGCCTTGGTCCTGAGAATTTTTATCTTAGGTGATTGGTTTGCTCTATTGTCTTAATGCCTATTTTGTTAACTCATTTTAATATCTACCTGAAAAATCTTCTCTTAATGTCACATGTCGCTTAAACGAGTGGGGGTTAACTCCGTTTATCTTTTCTAGTTTGTTGCAGCTGCTTTTTAGTCTGTTATTCTGCTACCTCGAATTTATCGCGGATATGTTGATGCGACATTTATTTCATATACTGATTTAGGGTAAAGTGATGTTATCATATCTGTACGATTTATCCGGGATTTTATTTGATATTGTCATTTCAAGTGATTGGCTGTTGCTTACATCCTTAGTGTGGCTGCCCTTGATGTGCCTGTTGACAAGGTGCCTACCTGTCTATTACCCACAACCTCGTCTATACTGGGTCCAGGAGATAGTTGGTCGTTATTGGAGGGGAAAGAGTGCACGGCCTTCGTGACGATGCTATGCTTGTGTGTTCCATGCATCCAGTATGGAACGGGCTACGCTCTAATAATCGCATTTCATACGTCAAGTACGCATGGTTTTCCAGCTGAGCATGGATACTTATACTATGCTTGTTGAAGGAGCGTGGGCCGGCTCCGTAAATGAAACGTAACTCTCAACCACATGCTTTCTGGTCTTATTCCGTCGGGTTTACTCTGAATATGGGGTGTATGGATGGATCAGTAGGTGGTGCAGCGCAAGCCACTCATGATTGCTGTGTAGGTGCAGGGTTCCTGTGGATGTACTACGGGGGCCACAGTGACAGGGAAATCCGGTACCGGATGCCGCCAACCATATATATTCATGTACGCGTACATCTTACTTCACTGGTAATAAAGTGAATGCAGATAATGAACTCAACGAAACTGTTTGAAAACAAAGAAAGAGTACGTCATTCAGCGGATTCTTTTTCGCAGATCTATCACGCCTACAGGCTACAATACTATACGTAGACGATGGGTTTCGTGCTGGTAGTTTGAATCGGTCTGAGTAGGGTAAAAGTTGCGTAACACATCATCTATCCAGCAAACCATAGTACTCGTGTTCGAAATTCCCATCAAATATTACGTGCCTTATTGTGTGATACTTTTGCAAATTTAGTCCTATTCAGTGATATATTGTGATGATCTGAAATAAATAAATAATTTTGTATATTTACCGATAAACGGTACACGCACCTTAAGCGGGAGCGATCAATGTCTACTTACCTGCTTGCAAACTTGGAGTGTGAATGGGAATATATATATGCACAGTCTGTTAACAGACATTATGCCATCAGAACCATGGCAGAAGAAAAATAGAGAAAATGGAAACAGGAAATGCGATGAAAATAATAGAAAAGGATTTTTTGTTTTTACACACACCATGTTGATTGTTTAGTGTTTGTTTCGTGAGTCATTTGTGTGCATTAAAGGGGGGATAAATTAGCAAAAGAACGTTAATGCCACTGATGTCTGTTGTGGGGCAGAACATCCAATGTTCCCAACCATGGAGATCCATCATCTCGTTGTCTCCAACCTGGAAGACGCACTGGTCCGACTGCAGACAAAACTGAGGTTGCCCTCTTCATGCTCCTTCTCCACGTCTTGGCTCTCTACCGCGGCACTTTTCCAATCGCTCCCTGAGAGTGCAAATAACGGTCGGCGTGGAAGGCAATGGGCTGGCATGCGCAAAACGTGCCCGAGCCAATGCATGCGAAATCGGAGAATGAGGTTCTTGGGACTGGCACTACTCGCTCCAAGCACTCGGGCTCGGACTACTGCGCTGCTTACGTGGTGTTGCCACCACACCCAAGCAATACTTCGCAGACAGTAATTATCAAAGACTGACAGTTGCTTCATGCCTTCTGAGCGAAAAAAGCACTGCACGGACGGAAGCATTTTATACCCTCCCCTTCGGCTTGAGACTGACATCACGACGACGCCACAGGCGTCACAATTTGATGAATGCAAGGCGGGCCTTTGCAATCCGTTGTGAGACTTCATCTCCAACATCACCACCAGTCGTGATGCAACTCCTAAGGTAAGTAATGCGCGAGACTTGCTCCAGAACATGTCCAGCAATGGTGAGCGCGGGTTCAGACACCTGCCAGTACTGGAGCAACGTTTTATATTTACCCGGAGTGAAGCCTAAGCCGTACTTCGATGCCTCTATCGCCAAGCGGACCAAAACTCTCTGGACGGTTTGTGGGTCGTCCCCCAGCAAGGCGATATCATCGGCATAGTCCAAGTCCGTGACTCTGTCTCCAGGAAGGAGCTCAATACCACAGTCCTGGACACCTTCCAGTGCTCCTTGGAAGACATATACGATGACAAAATTGAAGAGGAAAGGTGATATAGGGCGAACACCGCTGGTCACAGTAAACGAAGAAGAGAGTGTGCTGTAAGCGTTGACTTTGTCCGACGTGTGACAGCACAGCCCTTTTAGGATGGTTACAAACTTCTCGAGCACAACTCTCTTCAGTAAACAATTCCACAACGCAAATCCATCTTAGTGCTAATGAGTAGTAGTGAGGATTTCGGCATAATTCAGCCAATTCATCATCGTCTATCTACTAAATCAAATGCCATTCGGATGTTCAAAAACACTACGATTATTGGCCGCCGGTGGATGTGACGAAGATCGAGGAGTTGGAGAAGCGTGATGATTTGGTCGATGCAGCCGCGGCATGGACGAAATCCGGCTTGTATATCTCGGGAAAACTCCTTTTTAGTCATTGCGAGCCTGCGAAGTAGGACCGACACGAAGCCTTTGGATGCGACAGAGGTTAACGAAGTACCGCGGTAGTTGCAGCAATGGTCGCAGGAGCCTTTCTCGTAAATCGGAACAATGACCGATTCTCTCCATGAGTTCGGAACCTTCTCCTGAGTCCGAACCTTCGTGAACAGCGATAGGATTTTGCTGACAAGTACACTCCCGCCATCTTTGAATGGAGCCGGTAGTAGGCTGTCGGGACCAGGAAACTTGTGGCGTTTCCAAGATTGGATTGCATCTCGGATCTCTAGTTCAGTTGGTGGGCCTGTGGCGACAGGTCAAGCAACATCCGTTGGGGCAGGAAGTTGTGTTGGGTCGCTGAATTGAAGAGTGAAATGCTCTGCGCGGTGACCCGATCATCTGTGAAAGTTGGTGATCTTTGTGTCGTCTGATTCGAAAGTCGTCTGGCTGATAACGTGGGAATTGCAATCGGTGGTCCTAAGGATGCAAAATAGACGGCGGAAGTTGCCAGCTAATGCAGCGGCGTCCATCTCATCAGCTTGTTTTGACCACCAGGATTCACGATCAGAGCGAAGGCTTGCTTTCAGCTGTTGCGCAATAGACCGGCGGTGTTCGTTGTGCTCTGCGCCAACAGGCACCGACCGTCGGCGATCTAACAATTCCGAGGATTTTCTCGAGATCCAGATTGTGGGAGTGGAGCGTGCAAGGCCACAGCTGGACAAACCGGCCGACAGCAAGGTGTGTCGCGGACTTGACCAGTGTTGATCAACATCTAGAGTGGGAGGTAGAGCGAGATTTTTACGAAGACTTTGTTCATACATCTTCTTCATCATTGGGTCCTCTAACTTGTAGGTGTTAAGTCGGGTGTGTTTGGATCTAGGTGAACCATCGAAACGCATGCAAATGGTCGCACATACCAGTACAAAAACAGTATCGACGAACCTTGACCAATATGAGCAGCAGTCGCGTAAGCTGCCGCGCCACCTGCGACTTATGGCCATGTGGTCAATCTGTGACCACCGCCGGGTTGATGAGGGGCAGCGCCAAGTGGCAAACTGGCGTCCATGATGACGAAATCTCGTGCTGGAGAGGAAAAGCAGATTATCAGCACACCGACAGAGTGTCTCTCTTCAGTGTTTGAGCGAACATCATTATAACCATGCGGTCCCCCGAGGTGGCGCTCACATGCAGCAGACGACCGACGCGCGCGTTGAAGCCTCTTGCCAAAACAATGATATCTGTTTTATGAGCTCTTAGGAGCAACTCATGAAGGTTCTGGTAGAACTCGTCTTTGACTGTGTCCGAGCTACAGTCAATGGGCGCGCAGCCAGAGACCACGAAGAGAGCACGATTTTCGATTCGACGCCTATTAAATTCACAAGCGTCATGGAGCCTCGTCGCATAAATGTGACTATTGATCGGAATCCAATCAATCAGAGAAGTCTCGGCTCTAGCACTGAGGGCGATTCCAACACCAACTTGCTCAGATGCGGCAGACTCGGCGTCACCAGAGAGCCGGAGATGGAGGCGGGTGTTGGGGTGGAGCGGTGACACCAGCTGGTAGACCGAGTTAGAGTCCAGGAGTCGCGTTACACTCAGGCAGCAGATATCAATTCCAAGGGTCTCTAGCGTGCATGCAAGTCCAGCTTGTTGACCGATCTGCAGTAATGTGCGTACGTTGAAGGTTGTAAGTTCGAACTACATTCCTGGTTGCATGGAACGAAGATGGAAAGTTTCGGGACTGGCAGCTCTCTGTTGAGCACTGTGTGGTTGAGTTGGCAGATGTCACGCGAAGAGGTTGACCGGTGTAGGTGGGGTTGATGGCCATAGATGAATCAGGTAAACATGGGTGGAAATGGTACAAGGGAAGGGTAGGTAAAATGGTGGCGTGTGCTTATAAAGTTGGCAAAGTAGCATGAGTGAATAGCATCGTAGCAGCAATAAAGCGGGTGAATGGTTGCAGTAGTAAGTCCATGGTCCGTCAGTAAGCAAGATAATACCCGGTTGCCTAGGCCGCGGTAGGTAGGTTGCCTTGAGGGACCACCGCCACGAGGCATTGGTCAAAGGGCCTAACCCTTAAGGTGGCAGGGCGAGATGAGGAATTAGCATTCATTGGGAGCCGGTGACTGGACAAGCAGTTCATACGGCTTTCGAATGACGATAAGCCATGCCAGGGGCCCAATACACCCGAAGGTAGAGACAAGATTCGATGCTCGGATTCCTTGCCGGTGTAAATGTCTCCAAGGTATCCAAGGGTCAGTGACTTTATTTAATGGTGAGTCACATCCGCCACGTCACAGTGTTGTTAAACGGATATTTGTGGCCTTCATAGGGAGAATGCTTGCCAGGCGAAAACCCACCACGTCCAGGAACACTGCCGCCGAACCATTCTCCAGAACGGGAGATTCCCGAACTGCCCAGCTGGCACCACGAGGAGGTTGCTCGGCGAGCCAGATTAATCATCATATACAAAACAGTAAGTTATGACTATAAGCAACGTGCTTGAAGAGACTGCTCTCCCAAACATGACTAAATGACCAGTTGTCAACTACACGGTTTCATTTGATGATTCAGCCTAAGACACCACGTACGAAAGTAGTAGGACTTCACCTCTCCTAGAGCTTGGTTTAATCGATCGCTCAGAAGGTGTCACCACCAATGACGCTATGTCACTAGGTCTTCCAATATATTGTTATCGGCGAAATTCCAGAGCTAAATTTTGCTAACTTATGTAACAACCCAAGAACAAAACGGGAGTGTATCACCATAATATGGACACCTGCTGGCTCAAAGCTGCTGTTCAAAGTTATAGACACAAAGGTAAATTTGATTCTAGGAAGACCAATCTAAATCCGCATTCGGAATGCACTAAGATAGATATCAGGGTCAGCGTTATGAACATTCTATGATTGGTGTGCATGGAAATGTAGCGTCATTTTCCAAACATTTCCCCTAATTTAATTTTTTAAACGTAACCGTTTTGAATAGCTTTACAAGGAAGCGCAACTCAACGAATATATAAGTTTTCATGATGTACTAGATTTATCTGACCTGCGCAAAGCCGGTTTTCGGGCAAATTGTCAAATGGTTGGCAACGCTACTGTCCCACTTGAACGTTACTCTGAGCGCGGAATTCGTTTTGTTATACACTGCGAAGCAGTCTTCATAAAGTCTATCCAAGTAGCATATTCCCAAAATCATAGTTTCATTAGACAGAGTGGTTGGTAATTCTTTCGGAAATCCTCGAGCAAAAATTTCATAGGGTTGACAAGCTTCGTCATCAAATGTTATCAGAAACCGTTCAACCTCAGCTTGGACGTTAAGGATGTCCTGTTCAAAAAAGCATGTAGTTTTGGGACACCAAACAATCTCCAATGTCACTGAGCTGAATGCATCCAAAAAGCCGGAAGTCAATGATCCACAATAAAAGTCAGATTCTTGGATCGTCCCGACTTCAGCCGTAGGCTGCTCTGTCTCTTCAACCACAGTTTCATCCAAAACTGTTGCCTGTATCGCTGAAAATAAAAAGAGCTCAATTGCGATGCCTATTCATCAGCAGCTGAATGAATGCTAAGGTGCATTACTTACAATTAAAGTCGCGATAACCATAGTCTTTAATGTTTGCTTGAGACGAACTTTGCACAATGTTTTCACTCAAACCATTGAAATGACACCAGGTAATCATTATACTGTTCATGAGTTCACAAAAGACCGTGTGTACTATGGGCCAACTGGGTACCTGTTTGCGATCATGTAAAACTAACAACGTGAGTCGTGATTGCAACGGAGGGCACAAAACGCAAAGTAATGTACACCAGTGGTAGCTGCTGTAAACATCGGTAGCTGTAAATAGGCACCCACACACATTTACGCAATATGCCGTGCAAAAGCGCGAAGTATGAGTAGTCATGTTAGGGTTAACTGATGAAAAGTTGTTTTGACGGAAACACTCACTTACCACCGTTTTCTTTGTTCAGGTCATTTTCTACAGGCTGCAGTAAGAAAAGTTCCAAAACAACAAAGCACGTATAGTTTGACTGCTTTCGATCAAGCGTTCGCAAAAGTACCGAGTTTAAGGTAACATTTCAGCTGGGATAGAGGTGTTCTACCAGCCGCCTAAGCACCGAGGTTGGCCTCATGTTTTGATTTTCGGATAGTATTTGTTACAAGCAGTAAGTGTAAGAAGGATAGTAATATTCAGTTTTGCCTAATTAATAGGTGCCTATGTGCATCAAATGAGATAGGTTCCACTGAAAGCTAATGCTTTTATAGAAGAAGATAAAGATCAAAAGGCAATAAAGCAAATAAGCCGTCGTACCGTTTAGAAGATTACCTGAAGGTACCTTGGCCTATGTATCTACAGAGCATATTCCGATGAAACATTCGCACTTCCGCATGTTTGAGCAGCGTCACTGCACTTTTCTTGACCTATGAACGATTTTTGAGTTAGGTACCTTTACGATCATATAATGATCAGGGGGCTTCGAATGCATCACAGTGACGTAAATGAAACAGATCGTGTACGTGCCAGGTTCATGAATTGACGAACAACTTAACCTACGACATGAGAATTTTCGGAGCCAGGGCAACTAACCGTATCGTCTTCCACTTTCAAGATAACTGCGGAACGCGGATAGGTTTCTTCTCCTGGCATGAAAATGGTGACAACAGCCGAATGCACATTGCTTCGACTATTGCATCAGTTGCCATTCAAACTGAGACCATCGCGCGACTATGTTTGTATAAAATTTTCGATTAAAACATTGGAAGTGATGACAGAGAATTGTTAAAATATCTGTCTTAACAAACGCAACTTACAGTATAGGCGAACAAAATACTCTCTGTTGCTGGGCAGTAGGGGAATGCATTGAGTCCCTTGAGAAGATTCTTTGCAGCTTCATTCAGGCAGACAGCTACCACAAATCAAGCAAAGCGCTGAAACTCACCACTGCTGTGACACGCTATACGAGCACATACCGCCTAAGTCTAGCTGAGACGAATGTTCTCTAAACTTGATACTTGTGATCACGGAGACAATTTTCACTGGTCTGTTGTCCTCGATAGTTAACTGAAAATTATCGGAACGTTGAAATTTTCCAGGTCGCCAGCAGTGGTGAAGGAGCTAGTCAAGCTCAAAAGGTTCTCTACTAGCGTGCCGAAACCGAAATTGTGTGCAGTTCGTCAATGAACGTGTGAAGCGCAATAAATAGGCAAGCAGACTTGGAAGCAGTTGCGATGCGATCCGATATGCATCAAACAAGCGGAATATAGCGTAATTAGGAAATTACTGAATTCGAACATAATTGCTGTAACGCTACCCTGCGACTGAGGAACTGGATGTTGAACAAAAGATATACCCTGATTAGGTACAGCGTATCACCATAAATCAAGTACAACTAAAGCGTTTAGTTCCAACATAGACGTTGAGTCCGCTTGAGTCGCATCCCACGTTCCTCAGCACACCTGAAAGTCCCGTGAGAAGCATCTCTGGCCCGAAATCGAAGTCCACCTTGGGTGGCAAACTAAAACATAATGATGAGACGAAGGTTTTTGTCCATTAGAAAAGAGGACAGACGGTACGAATTGACAGGTCGCTAGTTAAGAGCTTGAAAGAGCTTTGAATAAATTTACAAGTTTCCCTTTCTATTTATGACCACCTGAAACTAAGTGATACGAACATTCCCAGTATTAAAGGGTCGCTGAAACTTCATAAAACTGACGTTCCTCTTTTCGTTATCCTGTCTACGATTAAGTCACTATAACATGCGCCTGCACGATTGCCTGCATAAAATCTTGAGGCAGTAAAACAGTAGCCTGGGGGATAACTTCCAGTCCTTGGAAGCATCAGGTATTACAATGAGGTATTACAATGAGAAGTTAATGTTCACTTTCGACTATTGGTTTTTCTTTTAAAAACGTTTAACTGCTTGATACGATCAAATACATAAGTAATCACCTAACGAATTTACGGATGAAGATTTGTATCTCGGTTCGTGAGTCGAATTGAATTATCGCAGCAATCATCCAACAGTCTACAAGCGCAGCTGCGTAACAACTCTATTTAAAAGAGCACAGACCCATTGCAGCACACCACAGCTGAGAAAAGCGGAGGAAGATCATCTGTTCGAAATGTTTGCACGGAATGAGTATCCTAGAAATTTCATTCTACGCTGTATAACACCAATAAAACGGCCGACACAAGATCAAACATCAGAAACGGATAAAAGGACAATCACTCTACCATACATCAACGGCATATCTGAGATGGCGGCAAGACTGCTACGACCTTTCGGCATCAGATTTGCTCACAAGCCGACAGAAACAATCAGAGACAACCTTTTCAATGGCAAGGACCGGCTTGGCATAGAAGAAACAAGTGGTGTGATTTACAAAATCCACTGCAAAAATTGTGACAAATACTATGTGGGCCAGACAGGAAGAAAGCTCGGCACTAGGCTACATGAGCATAGCCTAGCCATCCGCCGACATGACCAGAACTCCCTGATGTCGGTACATATGAACGCCGAGAATCATCAATTCGATTTGGAGAATGTCAGGATCATAGGCAGAGCAAAAAGTCAAAAAGCACGCGAGTTCATCGAGGCTTGGTACTCGGGAGAGAACTCAATCAACAGGCACTTAGATTTAGACACTGCCTATGAGACACTGAGGGTCAAAAGAATAGTCCGCCCAAGATCAACTGGACGAAGGAACCTCACTGAGGCGGATTCTAGCCACCAGTACGAGAGTGCTGACTACACGGTCAGTTCACGTGGACCAATCGACTCCTGACGTTCGAATCAAGTGATCAATAATCACTTGGATCTGTAAGTGGCCCGCATAAATCGTACTGATGATGTCGTCTAGTCTGACGACGAAACGTCTGCAGCCAAATCAACCAGCTCGGAGAAAACCCGCATACCCGCATCCACATCCCGAGCTACAAATTTTCTCACGGATTTCTCGAAGATACTCTTTTCGCGATTTACCTGGAACTTGCATTTCAATTTCATGGTATGTAGGACGCTCGGAAAATTCGACGCCGCAGTCGTTAAGCAACTGCTTGAATCGTAGTTGGGGCCGAACCTGGAACCCGTTATTCAAAAGTGGAAATGCCAGCAGGAACGCCGTTTCACCGTGCACCAAAATACCTAACGTAAGGCGACAAGGAAAGTCAAAGCGCTGTCACAGCTACCGTGCGATCTAAGACCGCAAAACATAAGAGTGTACAACGGACGTTGTCGGCGTCTACAGGGCTATCACATAATGTTGTGTCATATCCTAAAAAAACTCCAAGCACACTTGCCACCGTCTTCTGAAACCCAGACAAAATGTCTCAGTTCAAGCGGGCTACACAATACAGTCTAGTTGAAGGTAAACAAAAGTATTTCTACCTTTGATTGGCACAGAACTGTTACTCCCTTCCAACGCATGTATTTATTGCTTCACATTATCATTATGTAAAGGACGACCGAGTGACACACTGGCGCATCTACATTGCGTAGTCTAATCCGTAATCATGGAATGACTGCATCAGCACAGAACAAATAGTGGACTGTATCAGACACTTCTTAAACTCCAAGCAGGAATGTTTATATTCATGCTACTGCAAATCTCCTGGTGAGTTCCGAGACACGTGCGTTATGGCCATTCTTCCCATTTTATTATTCTCACTCTCATGGGACTTGTCAAGTAATAAAAATAAACCATAATATAATATTAAAAATACTAATATTATTTTTATTACTAATAATAATTAACCATTGCTCCATCGCTCCACTACCGGCCTACAGTTATGTGGGCATTGGATCTCTACTTGGTCTACCGTTGGCTGACATTTCCATAGCGCAATTACAGAACAGCAATCTACAAACGGAGATAGACAACGGCGAATGCTATCATCACTATATGGATGATGTATTTGTTGTAGCTGATGAACGCGGTAAACACGATTAGGTTCTAGACCACTAGAACCAAGCACGCCCAGCGATGTAGTTTACCTAGGAGAAGAAAACGAACAGTCGCCGTCATTTCATCTGGAATACTGCGTCCAGGCTTGTCCGCCCTGCCTCGTCAGGGACAAAATGGAGCTAGAGAGGGTTTTACGAGTGGGTACTAGGTTAGTTGAGGGATTACGGGGACGGACGTACCCCGAGCGTCTACTTAGTTTGGGAATGCACTCAATGCACTACCGAAGGCTTATAGGAGACCTAATCCTAACCTACCGTATCTTAACTGGGAAGGTTGGTCCAGATTTATCTGAGCTATTCAGTCCCGCTAGATTGTCTGTTCTACGCAGTCACTCCTTGAAGCTGGACAAACCGCGGTCCGATCGGATTAGGTCGGAAATCCGGCTGTCACGTAGAGTTATCGAGCGCTGGAACATGCTTTCGGAAAGTGTTATCATGGAAGCTATGGTTAAGGGGTTTGAGCGGCAACTTGACGCTCTTGGGTGGCAACACGAAACCTTTCCATTTTCCCGAGTAAATGGCATTTTCGTATTTCGGTTTTCGTTTATCTACTTTTCTTCACGCATTGGTATTATTTTCTTATTTCAAGTGCACTTCCTTATTCTGTACCTTCGATTCCTCGTCTTATCCCTTGCTTACTTCACGTGACTGCCACAGAAGGGACTTCTAGGGCAGGGAACGCGAGCATTAACTGGTTGGCCAGGGTGCGATACGGGTGTTCCGTTTAAGATCCATCAAGAACTGAGCACTTCATCAATTCTTGGTTCAACGATCCACTCATAATTGAACACTCACGGGATTCTCCTATCGTTCCAGACCAATCTGAACTGAATGAACTGAACTGAAAAGACCTCCCTATTCGAAGGCAAGTGAACAGCAAAAGGCCTAGATTTGAGAGTGTACAAATTCCAACAGCTTCCCACTTGCGCAACATGAGCGAAACTTGATCCGCTGTCTCATCGAGGTCACCTAAAATTATTACTGAAGATGCGTTGGATGTTGAGCTCACGTTAAGTGAAGAATGCGCTTTTATGCACCGGTGACGGATGGATTTTCAGCCTTGATGCACATGCTATCGAGGTGACAAAAAGCAGTTTAAAAGAGACAGAACAAACAGCAATAAGGCTCAAAAAACTAAGCATCTCACTGGCAGGATTTACTGGACAGTCGCGGAATAATAAAATTTTGATCAGAAAGAAATGTGACGAAATAGGGAATGACTGACGAACCATAAGCTTTCGTGCGGGTGTATATTCCTCTGTACTTTTGTCTGGTCGACGACGTAGATATATGGTTAGAAAATGCAGTGTGAAGTGAGTAGCTAATGTCAGTGAGTATAATTTAAGCAACTTCAATGCCCGAATTTGTGTGCGCTGACACAGTTATATTTGCCAACACTGGCTTTGGAATATCACGCCAACGATACAGATGCTTTAGTTACCTGCCAAGCAGCTAGAAATGCTTACAGAGTAGACCTGGAACTATCACGGGAGAACACTAACTCCAGTGTGGTAGAATGCACGCATTGGTGAACTTCAGAATCAAACCGTATGGTGCACAGGATGCACAGGATAATTTCAATCGAAGGAACTAAAACGAATGTCATTTGATTATGGTGAATTTTTGATTCACGTGGTGAGCATGACAAATCGCGGTTCAGTGTAACTCGAAGATATTTCACTGACACACATAAGCTCACAATATCACATTTAATCTGAAGTTTGGGACAGTCAGTGACAAGCTCTTGGCAACGGGCTGCTTTATGAAGTGAAAGGAACATGTCATTACACTTGGACGTCAGCCACAAGCAGCGGGAATTTGACCATCGCATTAATTCGTGTAAAAACAACTTCGCAACTTGGTTGAGGAGTCCGAAATTTGATACTTCACACCAATGACAACGTCATCTGCATATCTCGGTAAAATGGTTTTTGGGATAGGTATAGAGCTAACGTTAGTAGAGAAGAAGAATGGTGACAAATTAGCTCTTTGAAGGACACCGGATGTTGTGGTAAGTGGTGAAGAGCTTTTGCTGACAAACCTGGTGACCTGATTAAGTTTGACAAACTAATGCTTTAGCAAGACTAAGTAAGTTTGAAAACCAGACCTCCGTAGATCTTGCAACAGCAAAGTACGGTTTACATAACCGAACGCGTTGCTGTATTCGAGGAAGAAAACACGTGTGGCTTTGCTTTTACTGCCTAAGGACGACAATACTGAATGCACTAGAGAAGACAATGCATCTTGTGTGGATCCTGAACTTCTGTGGGCACATTGAAATGGATCTTATACTGGGCCTGGGCCAACATTCTTCCAAGAACAATTTGCTCAAAGACCTTTAAAGCCACCGTGGTAGATGCAGGAGGCAGATATTTACCCGTCCGTTTTTACGGTACTGGCGTTATACTGGCAATCCTGAAACCATACGTAATATTTCCTTGTTTTGACCACATTCTGTATGGCTCTGCCAAAGGCCTGGCTAAGGAATCAACACACTGCTTCAGGACGATGGGAGACAACCTGTCAGGTCAGCATGCCTTACTTGGGTGCAACTGGGTCAGCTTCGTGCACAGTGATGCGACGTCGACAGGAGGCAATGAGTTGATGGACCGCTGAAACGATGCAGCTGATGAGCCAGACCACGAATCACTACAGGTGTAGCAGAAGATAATATTTACTTATTCTACGTTCACATCAGAATTTGTGCTCTGGTGGGTGACTCTGCTGAGCTGTTTCACCATCCACCAAACCCCAAGACAACTATTGCTCCTCAGAATTGTCTGTACTTAGACATGCTGGAGGTGGCGAACTTCTTCCCTTATGAGAGCAGAAAGAGATTACACTAAAGCAAGATGTTTGCTTTTGAAAGTTCTTTGTTCGAGCCTACGAAGCTGCTGGAGATGGGGTGAAGAAAAGCAACCAGCACGGATGAAGACGGTTTCTATCGGGCAGCGGAGATCATAGCGAAACTTCAGATAACTTGTCAATTGGTCAGGGTATGTTGATACATCTGTGTCGAAAAACAAACTGAAATCTGTGGAGGTAACCATTTCTCTAATCCGCGCTATGTTTGAAGGGCTGGATTGCCTCCATTTCCGTTTACGATCTTTATAGTGAGTAGCAATATTGTGGTTAACTTGAATATAGAATGATCTGATCTACCAAGTGGTGTCCGATTGCAGACCAAAAACATTTTTAGTATATTGACAAATACCAAATCCAGGGTTGTCACAGGGTTGTCACTAACTGAACGCGATATTTTAATATATTCTGTAACCCAAGAACAGTAAGGAGTGTGATGTCAAATCTGTTGAAAGCACCACTAAATATGCACGGAGAGTGGTCGAATTTCCCAACAAAAGCAGCCGTAAAATCATTGCAAATTTTGTCTGTATCTGAGGTGGGACAACTGGGTGATATACAGATATTAGCCAAGTATATTGAGTAGTACCTGTTCAGATATTTTGGCTTACACTCTAAAACCAAGCGGTGGATAGGTTGTGACAAGTAGCATAAGAGGCTTTTCACTGACAAGTACCAAGAAGCGTTAATACATGTTAAGATAACGCCGCCACAATTTCGATAGGTGCATGGGCGACCGGTAGGGAAACAAGGCAACACCTTCAACATCTCTATGGAGCCATGTGCGTTGTAGCATAATTATTCTAGATGGTACGTATTTATGGCAGCAATTAAGGTTTCTAAGATCAACCGCTTTTTCCAGGAGTAATCGGACATTGGCGATTAGAAAGTGGATACGCTCATGAGTGTGATCATGCTTGTCAAGCTTTTCTTCCCCAAAGCAACTTTCCATCCCGTATGATGCATTTTTGTAGCGTTATTCCGTTTATTGCACATTCCTCTTATTTTATTCCTGATAGATCGATTATCGCTGTTGCCTTGAGCGGAAACAGGTGACGACTACAGAACATCGCAATGACTGCAGAAAAGAAGGATGGATGAGTAAAAGTACGAGTATTTATCGTCGAAAGCTTGTGTGTCAATAATTCCTTAAATAGGAAACATGTACAGCACGGTCACATTTGAAGACCTCGCCTGTCAAAGATAGAAGCAAAGTAAGCCGTCAACCCAGATGCACAATCAGTGCTGGTTGGGAACTGTCTATCCGAGCCCTATATTAGTGGTTGGTCACTCGTCTGCTTCAGGTGCTTTTTCATGAAAGTCTTGAGTGAAAATTGATGCGCTGATAGATTACTTTCCAAGAACACCCAGAAGAAAACCAACACGTGCCAAAGTTAAAAAACGCAAATATAGTACTGTTCGTTAGGTTACCTTTCAAAGCGGATACGGCAGCAGTAGCTTGCATTCTTATAAACAAGTGCGATGAACTTTGTTGTTTCGTTTCCTTTGCCTGGTCAGACATAAATGGACTCGCAGAAACGCCACTAAACTCTGAATTAATCGCCCAAAATATTAAGCTCAGTAGATATTAGTACTTCCTTTGTGACAGACTACCTACTGCCTGAAGCGAAGTCTTGTTTTGCATTTTGTCTTCGCTGCGTGGGAGAATTGTGAGCGCGTGCCAATGCGACGATGGTCTATGCGCGCAGCTGTGCTACTAAACCCACCTCGGGCACGGAGCGGTGACCGTTAGTGTATTTTGTGAAAGTCACCTGAGCTGTTGCTTGAATTGACAGTCGCATCTTCGAAGCTGCATTGGCCCATCTCATTTTTCACTCATGAATGGTTTCAGTTGTCATCTAGTAGGTTGGCAGGAAGCCCAACTCATGAC